CTATCCCGAGCAGATGGATGACCGTTTGGCTCAGGCCATTTTGGCCCAGTGGCTTCAATCTCCCCTACAGGCTAAAGTGGGGGAGACTTCCGGGGAGAAGAAGAAGGAGGTGGACAAGGGCCCCACCAAGAGCCCCATCACCATCAAGGAGAAGAAGGTTGACAAGCGCCCTATCGAGCAGGCCGAGCAAGAAACGAGCGAGAGCAAGAAGCCTAGGCAGGCCCCTGGGGTGCCTTCGGCAAGACGAGTCCCGAGCGGTTCGGGCCCCCCCTTGCAGGTCAGCTACAAGGGCGAAGTGCGAGCTCTCCATGATGGAGCCGGCCTGTGCTCTCCTGGCAGATGGCCGGTGGCAAGGAGGATGCAGCCTCGCAGCGAGAGGGAAGGATCAACTATGAAGTGGTTTGAGAAGTCCTTCGAAGCTTGGCTGAACGTGGTTGGAAAGGACAAGGCCAAGGAGATATTTTGGTCGATGGCTGCGGGGAAAGTCCATGAGTCTCCCTTCGGAAAAGAGATGACGGCACTCAGACAACAGCTAGACGAGCATTTGGGACGTTGGGGCTTGGAGCCGATGAGGTTGGAAGGCGACCGGAGTTCGGAGATCAACTTCAGGAGGCTCAGAGCGCTAGCGGAGGCCATGGGCGATGAAGACTTTGCCTTCTTGGATGAGGTGGCCTCGAAGGGGGTGAGATTGGGTGTTGACATTGAGATGCCCAGGACTCCGGAAGTTTATGAGGAGAAGGTGAAATGGACGGTCGACGCCACGGATGAGGTCATGAAGGACATCCTGGCGGATAACTATGAGTCGGCCGAGGAGAACGCTGGGGACATCGAGAGACAGGTGTTGCAGGAGGTCGAGAAGGGCACGATCATTCGCATGATGGAGCACGAGGCCAAGAGGAGGTTCAAAGGCAGATTGGCTGTGGCTGCTCTAGGTGCTGTTCCAAAGGAGCTGGGCACGACGAGAGTCAGGTTGATCCACGATGGCACCTATAGCGTGGACGTCAACAGGAGGATCAGAGTGAGAGACCGCATGAGATTCCCTCTGATCGACGACGCTGCCGCGATCCTGAGGCAGGTCGAGGAGGAGGTTAGTAGCGGTGGCGAAGGGATTCGCTTCTCCGTCCTCTATGACATAGCAAGAGCTCACAAGCTGGTCCCAGTGGCGGAGGAGGATTGGGGTCTCCAGGCATTCAGACTGCCTGGCGACAAGTCGGGAGATATCTTCGTCCACACCAGAGGGACATTTGGAGTGGCAAGTGCAGCTTATTGGTTTGGACGAGTGATAGCGGTAGCAGTGAGGTGCACCCACCGGCTTCTAGGACGTGATCATGGGCTACTGCATTTGATTTATGCCGACGACGGGTGGTTGGCCGCTGTGGGGAAGGACTTCTGGAGGCGAATCATGATGTGGTTCTTTGCTTTTGAACTCCTGGAGATACCGGTCACCTGGTCGAAAGTGAGGGGCGGCACCGAGGTCAACTGGATAGGCTACTGCCTCAACATCCACCAGTTCCAGAAGGGGATCAACCAATCCAAGAGGGCGTGGATCGCCGACTGGATCACGAAGAAGCTGGAGGCTGGAGGCGTAGTGGGCCGAGAACTCAAATCGGTCTTGGGACGCCTGAGCTTTGTCGCGGGGGCGCTGAGGCACGTGCGACCTTTTCTGGCTCCGCTATTTTCATGGTCGGCTTCGATGGCGCCTGGGACCTTCTCAAAGTTTCCCGATGCGGTGGTGATCCTTTTGGAGTTTGCGAGGGAAGAGGTGCAAAGGAGACCCATGAGGCCGGTGGAGCCGTTGGAGAAGTCCCCGGTGGATGTCTTTCGAGTGGATGCTAAAGCCGCCGGGGAGGAGATCGTGATTGGCGGCTGGGAGACTGGACCCGTCCCAGATCAGAAGAAGGCTCGCTGGTTCTCATTTCGATTGAGCAGGAAGACGGCTCCTTGGGCTTACCTGAGGGGAGATCCATTCCGCAACAGGAGCTGATTGGAGTGCTCGTGGCGGTGATGGTCTTAGCACCTGGAGCGAAATGGGCTATGGGCGGCGCCAAAGTGACGCTGACGGCGCTGACAGACAACTTGGCCAATACCCATGTGCTTCGTCGCTATGGATCCAGCAAGTACCCTTTGTCGATCGTGGCCATGGAGTTGGCAGTTCAACTGGACTATGTTGGCATAGACCTGCAGCTGCATTGGGTGCCGCGTGCACAAAACCAGCCGGCTGACGATCTCACGAACGAACGCTTCGAAGAGTTCAGTGAGGAAAACCGGCTGGATGTGGACTTCCAGGAGTTGCCTTTCAAGGTCATGAACAAGCTCCTGGACCGTGCGGGAGAGTTAGATGCCGAGCTCAAGCTCTACAAGACGTCGAAGGAGGCGAAGTTGGCTCAGCTGAAGGCTCATTCGGCAGAGCACGGCACGAAGAGCAAGAAGGGGGAAATGCGGTGGAAGGATCCTTGGTGAGGACTGTGGGAGACCAAAGTCTAAAAGATTTCAATGTTTTCCACCGTAGGAGGTAAGAAACCTAGTAAGAGGGGATCGAGGGGGTGCAGACCTCATCTCCTCTAAAGTTGGGGAAAGATAGTCGAAGAGGTCAGACACGATTGATAACCCCCCTTG